AGCGTTAACGAAGATTCTTATAACGAAGTCCTGATCGGCTGGATCGGCAACTTCGTTATATCGAGGTGTGACTGTACATTTAAAAAGGATATTTATTTATAAAGAATACATTTATAAAGAGTTGACTGTATATCTTTTTTATATTAATTTTTTAAAGATATTATATTAATATATATAATTTATTTAAGAATAAATGTATTTATTATAAAGAGAAATAAATATTATATAAATCACATAATATCATATAACATTGATTATAACTTAATAATTGTAATTTTAAAATAAAAAATTTTTAAGATAAATATGTCAGTTTTATTAACTATACTTATTAATGTTAAAATATTCAATATTCAATTTGAGTTTTTTTATTGAGACATTTAAGAGTCCTATTGCTTAACTACTTCAATTATTTTTTTTCACTTTTATTATTAGTATATATCTTTTGCTAATATCAGCTTTATTATTTTCTTCATTAAAAGCTTTTAAATATTTAATAATGGGTTTACCTTTACCATTCCATATTACTGGATCTTAAATATTATTGATTCTAAAGATTTTTTTTAATTAAAATTAATAATTTTTAAATTAAAACAGAAAAATTTCTAAAATCTGATTTTTTTATAATAATCATAATTTTATATAATTTAGTTGATTATATATAAATTAAAAGATTTATTTTATTTTATTTTTAAGTGTATTAATTTTTTAAATTAATATATAAAAAAAATTACCTATCTATTTATTTTACTTATTTAAATACATAAAAAAGATTAAAACTTATTTTATAAATTTCTTTAAAAATTTTTTTATTAGGAGTCATTGCGGATGCGATATCATCGCCTCCTTTTGTCATTCGTGTCACACCCTCCCTTCATATATTCTGGGGACAGAGCAGAGAAATTTTCATATGTGAAACCCTGTTTGTCACCTAGGTTAATGTCACATGGTTTAGAGTTAGGTTTGGAGTTAAGGTAAGGTATATATAAAGGCGATGTATGAGGAGTATTGCCCTCCTGCTAATAATAAAAAAAAATAATGATGATGATTTTTAAAAACTAGGTAGCCAACGGAGACCATTGAATGTCTAAAGTGAGCGTCACGCTGTCACGTTCCAATTTTTTCGAGCTTGACATTTTTATTTTTAATTTAGTATAGTGTTACATTTAATTGATTTTGATCATTATTTATAGGTTGCTTACTTTAATGCTACGAACTAACTCTAATTCCACGCAACTTATCAGAAACGTTGCGCAGCCATTGGCTGCGTGGCCTGCGGCCTGCTTTCCTAACAAACCTTTCCTTCTGAACTTCCTAACCCTAACCCTAATGTCATGTCCTAACCCTAATGCTAATGCTACAAATGCCACAGTGTAACATCTATTCGATTATAATAGTTCTGATTACACTAATCACGTGTATAACAGTGTTCCTATCAATATTTCCTAAAACAGATTTTGCCTTTCTTTTACGCATTCGTTCACGTTGCTTACTAAGTTTTGTCTCACGTTGCTCAGCAGTTTCTTCAGCAAGTTTCTTCCATTTATATTCACGATTATAAGCACGATGCTTTTTTTGTTGATCAGAAGTTTCGTTTTCCCTACTTTTACGCTTTCTAAGTGTTCCAAGACGAATAAAATCAGGTTTGTTATCCATTTTTTAACATTTTTAATGATTTTGACAATGAAAATAAATAACACAAGAAAGATCGATCGATATTTATTTATTCATTAATTAACTTTTGAATTTTTATAAGAAGGTATATAAGAAGATTATTTATTATAATAAAAGCAACAATTGTACAAAGAAAGAGAGAAGATTTAATTTATTAAAATACATCTTTATGTTTTGTTTACAAATCTAATAGTTTAATGAAGTTT